AAAGAAAGAAAGAAAGAAAGAAAGAAAGAAAGAAAGAAAGAAAGAAAAGAAAAGAAAGAAAGGGAGAAAGAAAGAAAGGGAGAAAGAAAGAAAGAAAGAAAGAAAGAAGAAATTCTTTCTAAAAAGTCGCCATTAAGAGATTAAAAAGGCAATGGACAGAGTAAGTGCAGACATTATCAATAAATATGTCTGGCAAAGAAAGAATTAAAATTCATTGAATATAAAGAAATCTTCTAAATCAATAGATAAAGCCAGTTAAACCAATAGAAAATGGAAAGCTCACAAGAGAAGACACTCAAATGTCCAATAAATATGAAAATGTGCTCAACTTCATTTGTTTTCTTATTTAAACAGTAAGATTCAACTACTCATCTTTAAGAATGGTTTAAAAAAAATAACATAGAATGCCTGGGTGGCTCAGTTGGTTAAGGGTCTGACTTAGGCTCAGGTCATGATCTCATAGTTCATGGATTCAGGCCCTGCATCAGGCTCTGTGCTGATGGCTCAGAGCCTGCAGCGTGCTTCGGATTCTGTGCATCCCTCTCTCCCTGGCCCTCCTCTGTTCATGCTCGGTCTATCTCTCAAAAATAAATAAAAATGTTAAAAAAATTAAAATAAAAATAAACATTAAAAAATTTATTTAAACAAATAACATAAAGTGCTGAAAAATGCTTGAAGCAACACTCTCATTTATATGCTGTTGTTAGTGTAAATTAGTACAAACCTTTGGTAAGCTATTTGGAAGTGTATAGTAAAATTAAATAAATGCATTATATGTACTTCACTTATAGGTACCTATGTAATAGCAAGGTATACATGTGTTCATAAAAAGTTATCAACAGAAAGGTTGAATTCAGCATTACTGTGTGGTATCTTTCAATTGGAAACTAACCACATTGCTCAAAATATAAATGGGCATTGACGGGTAGATAAGTATGTAATAGTACATGCACACAATGAAATACTCTACAAGAACCACACACAACATGGATTAACTTTACAATCATAATTTCCAGTGAAATAAACTTTCAATCAAGAATATATTTCCACAAACTGTAAATTACTCTTAAATACAGAGAACAAACTGAGGGTTGCTGGGGTGGGGGGCAGGTGGAGGGATGGGTTAAGCACATGATGGGCACGAAGGAGGACACTTGTTGGGATGAGCACTGGGTGTTATATGGAAGTGATGAATCACTAAATTCTATTCCTAAAATCATTATTACACCACATGTTAACTAACTTGGATTTAAATTTTTAAAAAAAGACAAATAAAGAAGAATATATTTCCTATGAATCCATTCACATAAAGCACAAAAACAGACAAAAATATGATGGTGGATATCACAGAAGTGTCTACTCTCGAGGGCAGGCTAGTTGACTGGAAGAGAGAATAAGGCAAGCATGTGTGTGCCAGCGATATTCTGGTTCTTGACTGGGGAACGGTTATATGGGAGTTTTCAGTGTGTGAAATTTTACGAGGTGGCACATTTATGATGTGTGGACTTTTGTACATGTATATTATACTTTAATAAAGTTTTAGAAAAGCATAAAGCTCACTCTAGCTGTTCACGAAGAGTGTATTTTTGAAGAACGAGAGCACAATCAGAAACACAAGTTAGGAGACTGTAGTCCTAGCAAAAGATCATTGAAGAAAATATAATTTTCTAACCCAGTTAGAAAAAATTATAGAATATTTTCTAATGGTCATAGCAGGGAACATGAAATTTAGTTAGCTAAAGAAATACAGTAAACAGTTTTGAGGGCTAGAAATTCTGCGTTTATGAGGATATCCATGCATCTCGCATAGTTTTTTCTAGCAATATTTAGCAACCCAGGTACCAGCAACAAAAATGTGTACAGTTGATCTTGCACAATTTATACTGGGGGTGAAAAGACCAGTGTGAATAAAAGTCTAAATATCAGGGGACTTTAGAGTATTGGCAAGAAAGGACTCATATTTGTCAATAAAGATTTGATTCTCAGGTAATGATAGATGTTACAGTTCCATCAGAAACTCTGTTGGCTGTTCACCTCCAACTTGGAAGCTTGCCACCAGATACATGAGTGATCAGTTGTTTGAAAAAAAAAAAAAAAAGTTATTCGCAATGGTCCCAAACGTTGGAATTATTCTACATTCTGCTTTTTCTCTAACATCCCATTTTTAATCCATTATCTTAGATTGGTATCTTGAAATTCCCCTTAGTAGTTGTTCTTAAAGGAAAAATATGATTGCAAAATAGCTGTGTCTTAAAACCTAGGATTTTAACACTAGACAATATTACCTCTTTTCTAAAAGCTGAGTTTATGACTTGCATTTTCTGGGCTCAATATGTGGTAAG